CCTGCGCCGGTGCTCTCGGCTCGGGAAGCAGCAAGACCCAGGCGCTCTCGCGGCAAGCACCCCCACAGGGCAGCTCTGGGCAGGGAGGCCTGTCCCGGGCCCAGGCCTCAAGGGAGCTGGCCACGGGGCGCCACGAGGCCGCTGGCGGAAGGACCGCGGAGGTGGCCTTCACCGGGGAGGTCTGTGTGGGCCCTCGCGGGCCGGCCCCGGGCGGGGTGGGGGGACGGGCTCCCACAGCCGCCGCCCCGCGGGGGCCTCCGTGCCACCGGTCTCTGGCCCGCTGCCTCTGACTCGCCCACTGTCCCGGAGCCCCCCGCCTGCACTTCTGACACCACCGTAGTCGCCACAGAACTTGTGGTCTGGAGAAGCTTCTTCGGCGCGACTGCAGTCCTCAGAAGGAATTCGTCTCTCCGTTGGCAAGGTTGCTTCGGTGGCACCGAGCAATGTGCTCGCCGGCCGGCCTCGCGCGCAGCTCGGGCGTGAGCTGCGCTTCCACTCGGGCCGCCGACGGCGGGCACCGCGAGCATCTGTCAGCCCGGCCCAGGGCCGGGCACGCCCTGCAGGCCACCCAAGTCCTGCAGCTTTGCAGGTGACCGAGGCCCGACAGCGTGAGGACGGCTGCGGGGACAGCGCCCGCGCGGGACTCCGAGACGGGGCTCCGGGCCGCCCCCCACGTGCGGCCTGGGAGAGGCCCCACGCGAGCGCGCTGCCCGCTGCTCCTGGCTTTCCGGGCACACGCCCAGCAGGGCTGAGGGCCAAACCTCATTCTCACCTGCTGCATGCTCCAGGCCGCCGGCCAGAGGGTCTGGGAGGCTCGCGGAGGACAGAAGATGGACACGGGGCAGCCCCGCACGCCCCCACCACGAATCTCGTCCCTCACCGGGGCTTCTCCGAGCAGCAGGGGCAGGAGGCGGCCGCAGACTCACCTCGGACTTCTCCAGCCGGCCCTGGGCGTCCATCTGGGCCACGATCTCGTTCATGTTCGTCTCCAGCACCATGCCGCCCATCACCACCTCCTGGAGGATGTAGTGCACCTGCACGGGACGCGAGAAGAGGCTCAGGCCGGGGGCGGCCCTGCGCGGGCAGG